TGACTGCTCCGGCGTGGCCAGGGGTCTGGAATTTGCCCGGATCCAGCTCGCTGAGCCCTCCGCACCATGGAATGCTGGCTCCCGGCCTTGGCTTCTGCTCCACCCTGGATTGCTTCACCCACAGCTCACTCCTGCCATTGGATGCCCATCCCAGGAGTAAGGGCCACAAGCTCATTATCATAGCTGCCTCCCAGGTACCGCCTTGCACGTACCCAGTGAGGAGCCTGGCACCCCTCCTGCCCTGAAAACCCCACCACTGTCTGCTCTACCTGCCGGATGGCCCTGCGGGGCCCAGCCTGCCCTCTGGGGCTTCACACACTGACTACACCCCTCTTTTGCCCCAGGAAGACGGTCTGAGCTTGACTAGATCCCCACTTGCTCACCAGACCCAGGAGGGATCATCACTCCAGTGCAGAGCGTGGCAAAATCAGCTGAGGGAGCAATCACCAGGCCACGCCCTGGAGGTACCAGGTGCCACCCCTGCCAGGCTGGGGTCAGTGCCAGGCACTGTGGGGCCACAGCAGGAGGAAGCGAGGGCCCCGTGACAGTGTTTAGGGGAACCTGCTTCTGCTGTGACATGGCGGAAGGAAGTGGCCGCATGCCCATTGCTGCCTCAGGGCCTGTCTGTGTCATCAGCCCCCACGGTCCCTTCCTGGTCACCGGGCTGTGTGGCCAGCGCCTCAGCGGGCAGTCCCGCACCCCGTAGGCAGTCTCTTCCTCTGACTGTGGGGAGCGAGATGCCTGGCCCCGTCCCTGCCCCCCAGGAGACTTTGCCTCTGCCCACCTCTCCACAGCCCACGGGCACTGGCACTCCAGCCGTGTGGCCTGAGGGAGTCATGTTAGCCCGGCCTGCTCTCCTCTGTCAGTGAGAACCCCCCGCACTGGGCGCTCACTGAGGCAGTGAAGGGCACAGCAGTGGCCGGAGGAAGGCCCCAGACACCATTCTCAGTGTCCCCCCTGCTTGCAGGGGAGAGGAGGCCTGGGAAAGAAAGAGCTGGGTGGGGAAGCTTCCTGAAAAGCCAGCCCCCTGGAGACCAGTCCCTGCCCCAGGCACCCTCAGGAGGCTCTGGCCTCTGTGTCCCCCCCTGGCAGAGTCCCCCCTCCCTGAGCCAGTCCCCCGGACTCCCAGACTGCAGAGGTGCCCTCCTGCAGGCTGGGGGCTCCTGGCCTCCGCCACCCGGTCCCTCCAGCAGGCGGGCAGAGCCTTACCTCCGGGCCATGGCTTGTGTTCTAACTTCAGGTCGGCCAGTTCTGCCATCACGGCCTTCGCTAAGGGAGCCGGGCCATCGGCCACCACCGGCAGCCCCCAGGGGGTCTCTGAAGCGGGGAATGAAAAGGGAAGCATGACTCTCCAGGCACAAACACCCCACACATCCTCGTGTCTGCTGGGAGAGAGGGTGTGGAGTGGCAATGAGAGGCCCGTTGGCAGGGGAGGGGCGTGGGGGCCTGGCCTCGGAGTCACCAGAAACTTCTGCAGCACGCGGGTGCAAAGCCAACAAGGCGAGTCCCAGGCCTCAGTGCCAGGAGTGCTTCCTGGGTTCTGTAAGTATCGATTCATG